TCCCTCGATGGATTCGGAGAGGTGAAATGACGCCAGTCGATGAAAGCCTTCAGGAAGCCAATTGGCCGATATGTCTTCCCTTCTCTCGATGGAACCAAAAGTAAACATGGAGAGATATGCAATGCCTACATAATGTTTGAACCTAGCAAGGCTGCCCAGATTGCCAAAGAGATGAGAAGGTACGGCATAGAAGTTATGGGAATCTGCAAGGAATCTGCAGATAGGATGGAAGTGGACACTCCAAAACTGTCAACTGTTTAGCCCGTAATCTACTCCGATATTGTCACCCAGACGACAACCACAAGCACACTGAGTAATGGAGTGGCTATCAAGACGCCTTCAAGAACATTGAAGGCTCTAATTCATTGGGAACCAATTTCCTCCACAACCAGGTTCATGACAGCAAGATCCAACTCAAAAGAATGGAAAGTCACAGTCATACAATGCTACGCTACGCACCTAAAAATAATGAAGATCAAGAGAAGGGGGAATTTTACAGACAACTGCAATCAGTATTTAACAAGACCACCACCGAAGAAGGCGACATCGAAATTCGAAAGGGTGGGGTGTAATGCATGTCAAACTAAGAGCGGACAACACACGGAGAGAACTAATCATGGGTCGAGACAACCCGGTGAAATGAATGAGAACGGAAAACTGTTTGCAGAGTTCTGCGCGTTCAACGATTTGGTGATTAGCGGCAGTGTGTACAAATAAAAGAATATTCACAAAGCGACATGGATTTCACCAGGTGGACACACTAAAAACAGATCGACTTCATCTCAGTCTCAAGAAAGTGGAGACACAGCCAGCCTACTTGACACAACGTCAACAAGGGGAGCAGATGTTGGTTCACACAACATACTATCTGGCGCTAGTAACCTTCAAAATCAAGTTAAAAGCCTTCAACGAAGCTGGTGATAGACCATAGTTAAAGTACAACACTCGGAAACTGGAGGACGAAACTACCAAGAAAATCTTCACACCAGCCATCAGGACAAAATGGGAGACATTGAGCAACATCTACGAACAAATCTGTGTGGAAGAACAATGGAACTCTTTGAAAGAGATGTGGAAAGAAACCTGCATAATCATATTAGGAAGACAGAAGAAAGAAGGCACGGAATGGATCCCGACGGATACATGGAAGCTGATAGAGGAGGAAGAGGAAGATGTTGAATCAGAAGATGAACAGTGCAGTGTAGTGCAGGGGTGAACAACCAAAAGAGGAACTGAATAGAACCTATAAAACACTATACTGGACAAAGAAGTGAAGAAGAGTGCATGCAAAGACTAAAGACACTTCCACGACACACTGGCAAGTGAAACAGAACAGGCTGCAGGTGGAAGAGATAGACACCTAACAACACTATATCAAATAACCAGGTTACTAACTGGGAAGGAAGAGATCAACGCAGATGAAACCAATGAGAGATAGTGAAGGAAACCTAGTTATCGCCAATGAGGAGAAACGAAGGAAGCAATGGACTGACCACTTCAGAAAACTCTTGAATCGACCACCACCAACTGTGACTCGTGCAGAAATACCAGCAGCAGCCCAGCCACAGAACTACCAGTGAAGACAAGCCCTCCAACAAAAGCAGAAGTGAAGTCCTGAACGTCATATATTTGCTGAAATTTAATGAAGCAGCAGGACCATGTGAAATTCCTCAACAAGCGCTGAAACCAGATGCAGATACAACAGCGGACACGCTAACGCCACTACTGCAGAAGGTTTGTAAGGGAGGAAGGAAGGTAAGGTACCTATCCATTGATTTGAAGAAAGAACACTCGGTCCAACTTCCAAAGAAAGGAAGCCTAAGTCTTTGCAAGAACTGGAACGGAATCATGCTCCACCTCTGTCCACCCAAGCCAGCAAAATATTAAGTCTGGAGAGACTAAAACATGCGCTGGATTGGAAATTACGACCAGAACTGCCTGGCTGGCTTCAGGAAGTACAAATCATATGCTCATCAAATTGCATTGCTGCTCTACGCGTCGTCATAGAACACGGCGTAGAATGACAGAGAACTCTCTTCCTTACCTCAAATTCATCAACCTTGAAAAGGGCTTCGACAACGTCCACCGAGAAATAACTTGGCAGGCAGTTGCTTCAACACTACGGCTTTAATGCCACAAAAATTTATCAACCTCATTCAACAACAGCTGTATGCCATATGATGCGACATGCCAAGTGATTCACAATGGAAAGCTCAGTGATGCCTGTGAAGTGAAGACACGAGTAAGACAAGGCTGCCACCTACCATCACCCATCATCTTCCTGATTGTGATCGACTCGACTGGATCATGCATTAGACTGTGAGGAGCGAGAGGAGTGAGACACCCTGGCTGGACCGATGCAAAGACCCTAGACGATTTTGATTTCACCGATGATGATTTATGTCTAGTGTCTTGTCGCACAAACTCGAAGATCTACAGGTGAGAACTAACAAGTTGACAGAAGAGGTGAGGTAGCGAAGATGGGACTTCAAGTGAACATGGGGAAGACAGATGTGATGAAGGTAGCCAACCAAGAACAACAGTAACAACAAGCACCAATCCCCATGAACGCGAGAAACCCAAACGAAGTTGTCTCCTTCACCTACCTAGTCATGCAGCATCGTTTCAACTACAGGTGGCACAGGCACAGATGAGGACGTCAAAGCCAGCATCGGAAAGACAGCAAGACTGGCTTTCTTGCATTGATCTGAAATAATCAGTGTTGAGATCTACTGCACTGCACTGCACTTAGCATAAAGCGTGAACATGATCCGGTTTTTAACACCAAGTCAGTCATGTAATTCAGTGCTTCTATGTGGTGGTTGAGAGACTTGGCGTGTTACAGAAGGCATTCTCAACAAACTTCAGACATACATTAAATCAACAGCTGCCACCTACACTCACTCGATACTGAAACTGAAGATCAGATCAGATCAGATCAGATCAGATCAGGTGGCCAGAATAATGAGGATGAGCAACAAGGAACTCACTCTGGCTGACTGTCAACGAACCGACCAAGAATCTATCGCCCAACAAATATGCAGAAGAAAGTGGAGATGGACTGGATTGGGCATGCACTGGGAAGACCGTTTGGGAACATCACGGTGCAGGAAAGGCCAATTTCTCGAGTGGGACCCATGTGGGAAACGACTAGTTGGGCGTCCCAGCTGAGAATGACATGGAGGAGGTGTTGTGAGGAAGAAATGAATGTTTGTGGGCAGTCATGGAGTCAAGTTGAAAGAATGCAGAGAGGAGAGGGAAATGAAGACGTGCTAATGAATCTTTATATTCCACTAGAAACCCAAGGGTCAATAATAATAATAATTCTAATATAATCCAGTTTCATTTTGCGAAGTATCCATCAAACAACTTTGCAGACAATTATACTTTAAAATGAGGACCTATATGTATAGGGGATTATAAATGAGTATTAAACAGAATTTTTCAAATGTTGTTTTAGTATTCATCGTGATCTAACATCAGTTATGGAGCCACCGAAAAACCAAGTAGCTCTGAATATCTGTTTTTTCCTAGTTTTGGACTACTCAGTCATGCGCATGCATCACACCGCCAGTGATCGAACCCAAGATATACGTATTTAGGGAGCTAAGAGAAACAAGAAATCGGGGGAAGTCGAGTTCCACCCCAGTGATTCATTGGTACTTAGCTTGCAGTTATACCTAAATATTCCTGGTGCAATCCCTACCAGAGTCATGGGTAAGCATTGCTGAGGAGTCTTATACTAAGGCGAAACAGCTGTCCAGTATTCTTAGGTTTTTTACCAGTTTCCCGACTAATGTCAGTCCGTAATTAATGCCAACTGGAAACTAATAAATCAATCTCCAAAACCCTCGAGAATGAATTGTCTTAGCAATTTTGAAATTCTGATTCATTCAGATATTAATATCAGTTTAAGCTATTTTTTCTAGTATATGCCCAAAAGTACTTCTGAACATACCAATTATTTTTCGCTGAAAAACTTTGGTTTTATCTATCCAAAATTAAAGCAACATGCATGTCAATCATCATAGCTGCAATATGTATGTAGTTCGTAAACAACACTGGACTACCAAGTTGAACAGAATATATATATATATATATATATATATATATATATATATATATATATATATATATATATATATATATATATATATATATATATATATAGCAAGCTGAGACCCTTAGCCCGGATCTTATTAGCAAGAATATCTGCGTTAAAGTTGATTATTAGAGTTGCATTTTGAGCTTGCGCAAGTAGAGCCCACACCGTTAACGGATGATGTAAAAGTTATCTCTTCTTCTCTATGAATATGAATATTGATTAATACGTTTTGCAGTTATGATCAGGTTGGGTAAATATATATTTTACAAGAAGTTCTACACATTTTGACGTAGACTCTCTAGACTTCTGTTTGTAGCTAACTACTATTTTCAAAAAAATGGTTATTTTCGTTTTCCAATTGATCCACATTACTTACATAAGATATAATTATATGGAAAAGGCCACGGGATTTGATATATTTATTTCAACTATATATATATATATATATATATATATATAATATCAAAAATTAAGAAGAGACACATGGAAACTTATGAAAAACAGTATTTTCTAAGGAAAGTAGTTTAACTTTATCTTGTTAATGCTTGAAATGATATATGCTTTAGAAAAAGGATAAAGATTTCTTTAGAAAAGCAAAGATCTAATTTACTGCATAATAGAAAATTGCCAGTTATTGGTCTGCTGAAATTGTGTATTTCTAGTTATTTTTTTGTTTGAATATTATAACTTTTTTAAACAATAAATTGGATAAAATGAAGTTAATTTCCTTTAAAGGACTTACACAAAAGCCGTGCATGGCAGGAAGAAAGCGAGGGGAAGATCACATTGCTCAGGGAAATCAACCGTTATTTCGTTGGCTAAGAGAAATGTTGGCATGAGCCGAAACTATTGAGGGGGAGAAGGAAGGCTTTCAAACCCGAAACAGTAAGATATATCACTTTTGAACTAGAATTTGTTTGATTGAACGATAAATACTAACAGGTGGATTGACGTCTGAACTTAAATACTGTGTACCAACATCAACTTTAAAGTGAAATACATTTGATGTAGTTGGTGTTTCTGTTTGAGTTCCTCTGTCGTCTAAGTTAGCACTTAGGAGATCAACTTGAATAGCCCGATGAAGGAGTGTACCTTTGGTGGAGGCAAGGTTTTAATCAGTTCTGGACCTGTTTGAACATGTGTACTGACAAATTGCGCCGCCTTGACTTTTGCTTCAGCAGCCAATTGACTTGGAGTAACTATTCTGCCTAAATTCACTTCACCTGATTGAAAATGACCTATTCTGGAACGCCAAAATTCGATACGTGGATCTTCAATCAACAGATCTTTTTCATCACTGCTGTTTTCACTTTTATCAGTGTCACCATTCCTGTCTTCCAAAGAATATGAAGTTTTCTGTGTACTTTGAACAGCTTTTTCTGCTATTGTTAGCTGTGACAAAAACAGCTGCCATTCAGGACTGGTTAACATCGAACTAGATGCTAGTTGTAAACAACGGTTCAATCGATCAAGAATTGGTCCTGCTTCAGTTAATGCTTCAATGGGATCCAGAAGATCTAATCGGCTAGTTACACAGTCATCATTGATAAAATTATACCATGCTGCTGTAGCATTTGTTAATCGATTACATTCTGTTGTTATCTGATCTAATTCAATACCGACCAATTTATCAACTTGTTCGCATAATTTTGCTCTTTGCAAATGAATGCGATCGATATAGGCCATTGCTGTATCTTCGATCATCGTACGCAACTGACGCATTTCGTTTTCACATATTTGTAGTCCAGTTAGGAAAACTTCAATCTGACTCATATGTGACTGAGTTTCAGCACTTTTCAGATTCAGCTGATCCTGGTAAGCAGCAACAGCCTGTCGCATTGATAATATGTCATGATCAGCATGACCAGTACATAGCATTTTCTCTTTCGATGATGGCATGTTATCATTAGGTGTTTCGAAAGCACATATTATACAAATATACGCACGACAGGTTAAACAAAAAAATCGTCTCAACTCACGAGGATGTCGATCACAGCGAAGCTGTTCCATTTGTTCTACTTGTATTAGTACATGACTAGCAGTAACTGGCATTCTAGAATGAGCTTCTTGGCAGTAAGCGCATAAGCGTTTGCCGCATTCTAAACATGCTGCACTAGCTGGTTTCGGACCAAATGAATCATCGCGCCTACGACTCGATGTTAGTGATTTGCGTAAGTGCTTTTGGTCTCTGTCCTTATGATGATGAGTTGATGCTCTTGTTGTTTGAGGACTTAGTGCCTCTGAATTATCTACGCTATCCTGCATACTCAGTTTGTCCAGAGAAACTCCTTCGTCTTCAGCGTCGCTATCATATTCGCTGAATGTATCATCATTGCTGACATATCTGTTAAAGTCCGTATATCGTGATTGTTTAAACCGTGTTGATAAACTAGATTGTGAAGACTTGATTCCATTCAAATGTGAGTCTGTTAGCAGTGGTTCTTTGGTACAAACATCACAAACAGGAAAATTAGGCATACGATCTACCATAGAAGCAAGTTTATCGGCCAGTTGATCTGCTGGTAAACTCGTTACTCCACCACTTGGTACAATAGTATCCTTGTTACAAATTGGACAGGTGATTACGTCGTCTTTTGTTGAAACTGGACGATTGTAACGCGAGGATGTATACAAAGATGAAGAATAGTCTCCATAGCGAAAACGTGATGACCATTTACGACGATAACCAGATGCATACTCGCTAGTATTTGAGGATTTGTACAAAAGTTTCAGTGCTTCAATTTCTTTAGCTTCCTCGTTTGCTTTGCGCTTTGAAATAATATCCTCTAGGCATGACTGACAAAATGAATGTAAGCAGACTAAAGCTTTAGGCTGCTTGTACGGTTGATGACAGTGTTTACAGGTAAGAAAGTTAGCCTCAATACTTTTACGAATTTCCATTATAGTATGATAGGTAAATATTCAAGTGATTGTGCTTGCCTTTAAAATAGTTCTACATAAAATGGGTATGCATGTGAAAATGTGATAATATTCAAGGTAGAATAGGTAATAATAATAAAATAAAATTTTTTAATCCAAGTCCGACTATGTCTTTTGTATTTTATGGTAAGTTCTCTGTCTAATAAACCAATTTTCCCAAGTTGTCATGCTAGAGTTGACTTTCTTCCTTCTCTATAGATAAAACTGATGTGATGTAATTACAATACTGTCTTTGAATTCTAGTAAATTGTGCTGTACACCTTACGCCCACGATCATTTTCTATTTGTCAGACAACAGGGATTTATTTATTTTTACTTCACTTGCGACCAATCACAACGAAATCGTGTATTGGTTGACATTACAGTTTAAGAAATAGAATATTTCCCACTTTGCTCTTTGCGTGTAAACAGTTATTCAAATTATAATCCAAAAAAGGAGTGAAAGGAAAGATTGATTTCAACAGTTGAAACCTTTTTTGCACAAAATCAGAAATGAAGTATATCGAAAATGAATGAGTTCAGACGAATTCAGAGAGGGTGAATATTGAATATGGATAACGCTTTGAAGCGTAGAATTATGTTTCTTGTGATAAATTCCCCTTCAAGTGTCTGAGTTATCAGTTATACCTCATGTTTTCAGGAATTTGAGCCAGACACAGACGGGTATATGTAAGGTCTATGAGCAGGTGAGTGTAACCATTTTAATTACGAGGATGTTAGTTAAATACTTTCACATATATACCGCAATAGTTCCAACAAGGACTATTCTAAAATATTCAGATGATTTTTGGTCACCGTAGTTGTAGACCAGATATATCATCGCATAAGCTAAGTTGCAACAGGGGATCTGATATCTTTCAGTGACTTCCGAATGAAGAAATACATAAAAAAAAATTCAGTATTGAAGAATATATCTACATTTTGCAAATAAAATAATTATTAAGACAGTAAAACTTGACATATTAACTGAATTCATAGAAGACTGAATACTTTTGAACGGAGTGATCAATATAGATAGATTAGAAACGAATAATTTCATTTAGAACAGAATAGTCAGTGATTAAGTAACAAAAACCCAGTAACAAATCTAAAATTACAAGTAGGAATTTTTAGAACATCAGGGCGAATGTTAACCGTAACAGTAAAATCACACATTAGGTGCAAGAAAATTAAAAAGGAACTGAGGAAATGAGACAAGATTTAGCAGGTCTCAGTGAACTGAAAACCGTATGTTGGTGCATTCAAATATACCATTATTTCATTCTGCACTAAAAAGTTTGATGTCATGTCCGTAGTATACGTGGTTTCTCATGATAGGGTGTTTATGAACAACTTTATAATGTTAAAGAGCATCCTAAGGGATAGCATATCAGTTTCCAGGTTCTGTCGAGCCACTGCTCAATCGAATCATATGTAGACGTTTTCAGATTCTAGTGTGACAGGTGGTACGTTTTTGGAGATAAGGTACTAGGTCTGCCTTATTCTTTCGAAAATTCAGTGGCAAGTGCCCGCGAACATGCTTCTTCAAATAAGGAAGCTGTCAGTAACTTTCCTTCTATTCAAAGATGTCATCAGAAAAGGTGTCATACATTTAATTCCCTAGATAAATTTGAACAATGCAAGAACAAAGATTTTTGCAAAATAAAGTGAGCACATTGTATTTCACGGCCTTTCATCAGCTGCAAACAGCCTACAACGGAAATGAAATATTCTTAGTAATAATGACATAATATACTTTAGATATGTAGAAATAAATGAAGATTTGAAATCCAGGATTAACATTAAGGAAGTGGGTCAAAGAGACACAGGATTAGTAATCACAAATCTTAGTCACAATCAATGGGAATTTATATCTGATTGGATACAAAATTCTGCAGTTGAAGGATGCAGAGGGGTTGTGGCAACAAATAAGCATCAGTGTACAAGCAGGGGTTGTTGTCGATTCTGACTAAGATTTGTAATTACTAATCCTGTGTCTCTTTGACCCACTTCCTTAATGTTAATCCTGGATTTCAAATCTTCATTTATTTCTACATATCTAAAGTATATTATGTCATTATTACTAAGAATATTTCATTTCCGTTGTAGGCTGTTTGCAGCTGATGAAAGGCCGTGAAATACAATGTGCTCACTTTATTTTGCAAAAATCTTTGTTCTTGCATTGTTCAAAGAATAAGGTGTACTTTTTTCCTAACCAATTGGGGGTGTAGAGTGGTTCAACTCGAAAAATTCTCCTAAAACGTCAATATTCATGAAATCCTATCTTCTCTCTTTCGTTGCTGACCTGATTCTTTCCAATTTTATTCGTTCATATTTGATATTTACGTTATTTTTCATTGTTAGTGGTTCAAATAAGACTCACTCGAGGTGCTCTGGTGCCATAATAATGCTACTGCTTAAGATATCTAGTATGTTGTTTGCATGCTCGATTAAATTTCCATAATTGCGCACGCGTTTTAGTACCTGTGTGACTTTACCTAATTAGACAGTTCACTGACGTGATTAGGTACTTCAGCCTAATTGCGGTCTGATGAACTGCATCCACACCACAATCAGAAATAATGGAAAAGGGATGTTTGGTATAAATATCATCGTGTTTTCACCAATATAAGCATATCTACAAAGCTATGTGATGCGCCGACGTAGATAGGTAACAGTTTTGTTAAACGCGTTGCTTATGAAAATGCCCTTTAATTCCTTTGTAGTACACCTAATTAACATTTCTTAGAATAAATATGGAAGAATGATAAACTGTATGAGGCGATTCAAATCACAGGTTAATTATTAAAATTTAATTTTTCATGATATCACTCTTATGATAACACTGTAATAAGCTATGTACTAAGTTTGCCATAATATCATGCACCAAAAACTGTTCAAATATTTGGTTATCTTTTTCGTTTGAAAAGACTACCCATCTTATTCCATTTTAGTGCTGGAAACCTTTCAATTGTGCCTCTTATTGATTTACTATCAGAAAGTGTCACAAGGTGATCTTTTCTATTGGAATAAGATTTCTGTTGCTTTAATGTATTCAAACAATTCGGTAACTGTTTGTTGCGATCGTTCTTGTCTGAGTCCGTGAATTTACGCCTATATTTAGTGACAATAATGGCGTGTATAGTACAGTGACTCTTAAGGTCACCCCAACTACTGTTAGAATTACCAATCAGGTTCCACTATTTCGGTGAGGGAGGTAGTTTTCTCACGAAATAAAGAAATCTGGTTGATTATCTTATTAGTTGCAAGGGTGACTTTTAGAATCATTTCCATAGTATCTTGCCATCGCTGAAGTTTTTTTAGACGTTATCAGATTATACAAAATTGTCAATACGACTTTTCCAGATGTGTTTAGTTCAGACGAGTGTACCAAAATTTTAGCGTGGACAGAATGCTCTCTCTCTCTCTCTCTCTCTCTCTCTATATATATATATATATATATATATATATATATATGACGTTATTCAACAGATAACCACTCTGTAACGTTTTGTAAAAGAGCACAGCGACAAACATCAATGTTTAGGACATTCAAAATTGACAGGCAGTACACAGAATTATGTTGGCTAACAAGAAAATGTCAACTGAATACTTGTATTTGGTTGACATTTGCTAGCGTGTAACTAGTAACTATTTAGGACATGAAATGCATCTTGTATGAATCCAACTTGAGTGTGACGTCTCATCTGTTGAGGTACGTCACGAAAACGGAAAGGGTTACTATCCAGTGAATTTCTAAATATGTAGCGATAGGCATAACTGACAGGCTTACGTTTTCTAAGCATTAATAATCATGCCGCTGAACTCTTCCGAGTAATTTTACATTTGATTCTGAAAATCCCCCTTGTAAGCCATTTTTAAACGTGGAAATTAGTGTGTACATGGAAGATCTAGAGTAAACAAACCAAAACAAATTGAGTTCATCCTAAAATCTTTCAAGGGAACTTATTGCATTGCATTCCAAATTATGATGTCAAGCGGCTTAATGGATGGATAAGAAGAACAGTGAAGTAGTAAGGTAAGGAAAGCACCAACGACTAAAATACGCAGATTAATTGTCACCTACGCTTGTATAAAGCGTACAATACTAGAATAAGGGATTCGTCAAATTAGCTGCCATTGTTACTGAATCAAGATTAAGTGTTTTGTCGTTGCTCACCGCATGTTCAGAAGTTAATCATTGTTGATTGAAGTCCTGTTAACCTACCCAACAATTCGAAACTCATTATTTTGTGTACATGTGATACGATTAAGAAAATGTCGTCATCGGCACACCTTCAGAGAATACTGCACTAACTAGATTGATTATTGATTAACATTTAATTTGATATGAATGTAACTTTACCACTTTTCTACGAAATTTCTACGCTTGTGTCAGTTGTGCTGAAACAATTCATGAAATATTACGACATGAAGAAATAGGCTACACCTAGATGGACTTGAAATAAGCAACAAATCTGATAGTAGACAGCTCTCTACACAGAATGCATGAGAATTGTATTTGAAGTCAAATTTGTTGTTTGTTAGCAACCGCTGTGAATTTGCAGTCCAATGATGCAACATTTTTTTTGGAAATACAAAGTACAAGAAAATCAACAAACTTGTTATCTTACCAGAAATATTTAGTTACCAACCCAATTAAGCGAAAAATCTGTTGGAATTTTATGTCACAGTAAATTAATTAACAGTTAACTGTAGTTTTACAAGTTTTTTCAGAAAGTACCCTGTTAACCTGGGAGCATTATATACTGCTGGGAAATGATAGCAATATGGGAATGATAGTCATTTTCCCAGAGAGAAAAACTAATTTGTTTTTAGAGTGTAGCATTCCAGAAAAAAACTTGTGTACATTGTTGATCAAATTAGTTTCTTTTGTGTACTTTACATCTATTTTCAAAATGTTTCCCAGCATCTAAAGGGTAGAATTTCCACTTTTAGATGTTAAATTATTTAAAAGGGAT